CATTTTTCTTAGTTTTGAGTGCATCTGAGTTTGGAAGCCTTGGTTTAAAGAATTTCAGGGTATAAAGAACCTTATTGTCTCTGTTAGCAAATATTTGGCTCTAGGATCAGTTTGTCACTGGAGCTCTGGGAATAGCTGCTCAAGTAGTGCTTCTGTTGAGCCAGCAGGGGCAATAGAGGGATATTTGTTAGTCCCACTAACCCAGGCTCCTTTCTTACTGCTCTTTGCTAACGTTAACAAAGCAGACCGAGGGGTTGGCACAGGATGACACGGAGTTTTAGGACATTTTGCAAATTTATCTAAAATATTGACCATAAACTACGTGTTTGTACCTCCCCTGCCAGTGTAAAACAGCTTCTCCTGAAAGACAACTCCCTGTCAGACGCCGGCCTTCGCAGGATGACGGCGCCCATCCGTGTGCTGAAAAAGGGGCTGGAGAATCTGCTGGTGTTAGACCTGTCTTGTAAGTGCCTCGTGGTTTCACATTAGAAGCAACCTGTATTCCTTCTGATACAGAATTTACCTTCCTCAGTACTGAAGGAACACAATTAATTTGTTGGTTCCCATGAGCCAAGTACTCAACCCCAGATTTCACTAACGACTTTCCAGAAGGCACAGGCCATACCTGGAGTCTCAGCCACTTGCTACTTGCATAAATATTTTTGATAGGTTGAGACTTGGTATTGTAAATATTTGTATTGCAATCATTGGAGGGGAAAAGTCAGTCTTTGACTTGAAACATACTGAAAAAAAAAAAGGCCAACCCCCTTTGTTTCAGTATTAGCTTTTGGAACAAATACTTTCTTGGCATCCTGATCCTCTTTTTCCACATCATGTAACTTAGTTAACTTTACTTGACCTTACAGGTAACCCTAAAATCACAGATGTGGGAATTGGATATCTTCTTTCTTTCAAGAAATTGAATTGTTTGGACATTTCTGGCACAGGTCTCAAGGTAAAAAAGCATCTACCTTAGTTTACTGGACAAGTGTAATAAATGTTCTTGCCCTCTGACTGCATTATTTCCCTTTTCCCCAGGATGTTGATGCTGTTATTAAGCGGATCCAAATGCAGATAGGCCTCGTCCACTCAAAAGTGCCTCTGAAAGAATTTGATCACAGTAACTGCAAAACAGAAGGATGGGCAGAACAGGTAAGGGGGGGTCTTTAAGTCTGTTTTACTCTCTAGAAATTTGCCTTACAGAGCACGAAATCACTGAATAGGAAAGAATAGAGAATGGAGTAATTTCCAATGGTATTTCTGTAAAATTTACAAGAAACATTTTAACTCCTTCCAATGTTATTTCAGACAGTTCTGCAATGGGAGCAGGCAGTTATGGAAGCCATCAAGCCACAGGACAACCTGAGATCCAGAACAGCAGCTCTGCGCTTCTGTAAGTCGCTGCATGGGAACCACAGAGTGGATTTGTTTCCTTTTCTACAAGGAATATTTCCATATTTTCTTTTTTTTTTTAGTACAAATAGCATCTTGGGTGTGCAATTTCAGCCATTTCCATTTGTGTAACTGCATTACAACCTGCTTGAGTTTTTTCATTTGTTAGATTGCTGGGTAATTCAAGTACAGCATGCTTAGGGCAATATATCACAACTGAGTTTTCTCCTTAAAATCCTGAGTCCAAAATATGTTATTTTTCCCTCTGCACATTTCAGCAGTCAATATTCCAAGTTGGCTTGGCCAAAACTCTTTGCATCAAAACATGCATTTTACAGCATAATTCTGTTTTTCCCCAAAATCTAAATTTGATTGGTTTTTTTTCCTTGTAGATGGCAAGACACGCAGAATAGAGGAAGTAGTCAAATGCACAGTGGTGGAAGCAGAAACAAAAGCATCTGGAAACTTACAGTTTTATAAGGAAAAAGTTCAAAATTGCCATTTACCTTTGAAAAAGGAGGTAGCGGGAAGCCACGAATTAAAGAACAATAGAAAAAGAGCTTTGGCTGAACAAGAGAGAGAAAGGACTTCCAAACAGAAGCATCTGTGCCTCACTGTGGAGGACTGGGATTTGTTAAATACCTACTGAGTCAGAGAGAAGTGGGTCTTTTGTTTGTTGTTTTCTTGCTGATGACAGGATTTAGACATACTGAGAGGGAGTAACAAAGAAGACCAGTACTGTTAAATCTGGTTGCTGTGCCATGCTTGTGGGTTAACCTGTGCTTGGGGAGGGGTAGAGACAAGAAGGTTGGTGATACTACTGTATATTTTCAATACATAATAATTTTTTCAAATAAAGGTTTTGTTGTCATCCTTAACCAATTCTTCTGACATAGGTATTATTCATGAAAACAGCTGGTCCTATCCCTGCTCCTCTCCTGCCTCCCAAGGGACAGGAGACAGATCACTGCAGCTCATCTATGCTTGTCAAGAGCCCTGGGGAATTAATACTGCTTCTAGAACAGAAACCTCAGCCTGAAAGCACCAGGCTGTGCTGGTGGAGCTGTGACAGAGGGAGGGAGCAGAGAGGGTAAGCACAGGCCTCTGCAGAGGAGTCAGAGGCTGTAACCTCTTGATAACAGTTACTGCAGAAGCCCAAAATACAACAGAAGTCCTCTTCCTTTCTCATTTTAGCCCAGGAAATGAAAGCTGGAACTGTAGAGATTAGGCCTTGAAGTTGTAATGTATTCTCTTTTACAACCAAATTCACTACATTTGAGAGCATTCTGTGGTTTAAAACACATGCAGTGTGCCTGCAATACACTAACCATACTTCTCCATCTGAAAACATTCAGGGACATTTGTAATTCCAATATGAATTATACATATTAGCTGTAAACCCTCTAGATACTTAGAGCCATTCTGTGTTGGTCTGCCACAGGTAACTGTGTTTATCATTAAATTCCTGCCCTGGGTGTTTCTGTCAAAACCAGATGAGGTGCACAGTGCCCGTGAGTTGGGCACTGCAACCATCATTGTGCTCTTAGGCCTTACAAGGCCAAGAACTTACTCCAGGTTTCCTCTACTAGTGCCTATTTAGAGGATATCTTTCTTTTACACTGTTGTTTACCATAATTCAACAACAAAAAATCAGCACATCCTTGGAAATCATGAAGAGACCAAGAAAAGGAACTTCGCCTCAAAAATACGTAAAGAGCAAAACCCCTTTCTCTCTTTGTTCTTATTGCTGAATTTTCCTCAAAAAGTGATTATATACAAAAAAAGGACTACACACAAATGAAACAGGCACACTTGCATTCAAACCCTACTTTTTTCTTCACAGAAATTCAAGGCTATTAATAGCTCCCACCAATGGCTACATCAGCGCTCTGCTGAGACAAGCAGTGGCACAGACTGTGACTCAAAGCAGGAGGGAGGAAGATGGCTGAGGTGCTCAAGTGCAATCCTCCTCCTAAAGCTGCCTCCGGTACAATGGCCACCATGGAATTTTTGGCCAGCCCTCTCACCACTGGAGATCTGCTAATCTGACCATGGAGAGAGGCACAATTGTTTTTACCAGCTGAGCACAAGGGTTCCTGTAATTTTTTTTAACAGCTGGTTAGTTCAATCCTTATTAATAACTACAGTTGTTCCACTATCCATATGCAGTTCCCATCATTAGGGGTGAGATTTTTCCTCTCCCTCCTGGGAAAGAAGTTCCTCTTCCCTGGGAAGAAGAGGCTGTCCCTGTAGTGCTGCCTCTGAATCACCACTCCTTGAGCTCTCCTTAAGAGATGCTGCAAGGCTTCCCCAGTGGTTGCTTCAGAACATACTTTGGGGTAACAAGGAACAACAGCAACTACAATAAGCCCAACTTTATCTACCAACCCCAACCCAGGCTTCTTGAGGCATTAGGTGTTTGTGACTCTCCAGTAAATATGTGCACCTCCACTGCAGGCTTTGATTGAGGCTGGAAGCTCCAAACCTCTCTTCGGAGCCACAGCACTGAATGCACTGGGGTAACGTTTTACAGGCACAGAGAAAACAAGCCATCCACGTTGGCCAGGCCTGGAGAGGGACAGGTTAGTAAATGCAGCTTTAAAATCTCCCCATGCAGAGTTTTGCCATCTCATTCCAGGTTAAGTATGAGTCACAATACTGTAAAGCTATTTATAAATAAGATCTCTCAGATCTCCAGCTTTATCCCAGCAACAAATGAGAAGCAACTTTCACCATTGATCCGAGTTATGGTGACATACAGAGTTGCAGATCACAGGACAGAGAGGAAATGAGTGAACAGGGTTTTATTTTTAAATATCTGTGACCTAGGGTGGTGATGGGAAAAAGATTGCCTGATGTTTATTTTGGGCCTAAGAAAGTAAGTGCACTCACTGTAAATGTGGGTTTTTCTCAGAGACGATGTTTTAGAGACAGATGAGATTTTCAAAGGAGCAGAGAAGACCACATTTTTCTTAAATTTCAGTGTCATGCCCATACCTATATCCTGAGGCCTGCTGTGAAGGCTTGGCTGCCTGATCCTGCAGTGCTGGCAGAGGAACAAAACAAGCAGCAGTCGGATCCGGTGTCATCCCACACTGCCCTGGGAGCAGCACTTGGTTTTCTGCCACTCTCTGCTCTGAGGCTGTGACTTCTTTTTCCTCCCTTCTTTGTCAATTTTGGTGAAACATATCCCAGCTCCATGGCTGTTCTCAGCCTGCTACGCTGCTGCTCCAAAACTGCACAGCCCTGAGAGAAGTAAAGTTTATCCACATGCCGGTTCCCTTTCCTGGCTTGCAGGGACAGCTACATGGGCACAGGGACAGTGATTTATCCCCACAAACCCTGAAACCTCTTCACCTCAGTTTTCCCTGCCATTATGCTCTCCACATTGGCTTTCATGGTTTGAGAAGAGAGCAGGAGGTGGCCTGAGCAGCAGCTCCCCAGGGTGTCATCCTCAGCACAGCATTCCCAAGGAAGTATCCCAGGAGCACCTGAGCATGGACCTCAAAGCCACTGCTGAAACCATCTGCAGATGTGTTTTGAATGCAAATAGAAGCTTCTCCTCCTGCCTGTGCCTGCAGAGGCAGCAGCATGTCCATACAGGAGAAACCCCTGGCCCAGGGCTGCCCAGACACCGTGCCTGTGCTGGCAGCAGCCGATGAAGAGTCCCAGGAGCTGCACAGCATCAAGTGCAAGGCAGCAGAAGCCCATGTAGAAAGTGCTCATCTTCACATGACAGGAGAATCCTTGGAGGTGTCCCACAGTCAGTACCCAGCCTGCAGCATGGGCTGCCGTGTGCCCTTGGTCCCTGTTCAGTGTCACTGCGCTGCTCCTGAGGATTTGCTTGGGTTGGAGCTTCCCAAGTGGGTGGCAGAGCAGGAGGACAGCAAGGCTCAGAGGTGACAGTGTGGGAAGCACCCTGCTGTCTCCAGCACTGAGGGGTGCCAGGACTTCATGGCCTGCAGACGTACTCGTCCGACCAGCCAAGGCAGTCCTGGACGCCATCCCGGCACAGCCTCCTGGGGATGCAGGAGCAGTACTCGTAGCGCACAGGGATGCAGCTCCACCACTCCCACCCACATGGGGGACAGGAGGCCACTGGGAAAGATGGAAAACAGGCAAATGAAATGCTGAATTGCTTCTGCTGCACTGACCCCTTTCCTCCTTTCTTACACAGGTAAAACCCTTTCATCCCCCAGCAGAAAAGGTACTGGTGATGACCCTGTGACTGTGAACCCACCAAAGAAGACACCAGCTTTGTGCTACTTGTGGGGGACAACCATGGAGTGTGACATTGTGATGACCTTCAAGGCAGACAGGCCATCCTGGGAGGAACAATGAGCTGTAATTCTTTTTTTTTGTTGTTGTTCGAAACAAGGGAGGTGACTTAGGAACAAACCTGCTGCTCAGGTTTGTTTGAAACAAACCCTTGTTTCAGCAAGAGGGGGGTCTAGATGGCTTTGAAGCTGCTGAGGCTCAGCCCTTCCCAGCTCAGAGATGTGCCCATCTCCTGACCAACTACCAAAAGCCAGCTGGAATGGTCACTGCCTATGCATCACAGTGAAACTGCTCCACATCAGCAAGCCATGGAGAAGGAGCAACTTTTGGGTCTGGGAGCAAATCATGGAGCCTTTGCCGCCTCGGCTGCCACCAGGCTTTGATACAGAACCCTTGGCAGCTGGTAGGATGCAACCTGCCTGGTTCATACTCACATCTTATCCCAGCTATTTTGTGTTTTAGTGGAGGATGCCAGCCTCCAGGCATTTCCAGCAGCATCCATGAGCACCACGCCTATACAACCTACTGCAATCCATCAGCAGAATAGACCTGTTGCCCAAGAAGAGAGACTTACAGCTCCCTGACTCATCAGAGCAGTCTCCGCAGTCGTTCATCCCGTTACACCTCTGATCGGCATAGATCCAGGATCTGGGGTTACTGCAGAGGAAAACCAGGTATCCTGGGAGGCTGTGGGGCAAGTCACCTGCCAGGGTGGACACACAGGACATGCATAACTCCACTGGGCACAGACACTGGCTAAAAGGGAGATGGCAGCCACCAAAGGCTGCTGTCATGGGGGGTCAGTCAGTCCTTCCCTATGCAGTGTCAGGGCAGGAACGATGCCATGGATAGGGAAGCTGTAGTTGGAGAGGGGAAGGGATGCTTGTGGCTGAGCCAGAAGCAGAGTCTGACTGCCCCAGGCTTCTGCTTTAATCAGTTTTTTTCCCAGGGTGACAGGACAATAAATTACCCATGTAGGCATAAAGCTTTACCAGTGGTAAAGCTGCATCATGGTTTTAAAAAAACCCTAGGAAGATCAGAGGAGCTTGGAGTCTTTGATTCCTGGCACGCCCACTGGGTTTTGGGCAGTGCCATCTCTCAGTATCTGCCCAACAAAGGATCTATCAGGTTTATCTGCTCAGAAGCACAGAACAGGATTAGAGGAACACCAGCTGCTCTGTCTCACAACAGGACAACTAGTGCAGGGGGGATGGTCACAACAAAACCACTCACCACAGAGCTTCTCCTGCTCATCCTCTCCATTCCTGCAGTTGCTGACTCTGTCACAGACCCAACTGGATGGGATGCAGGTCACTCTGTCATCACACAAGAAGCCTGTCCGGTTACTGGGGGCTGTGCAGAAGCGGTTCACTGAGGGGAAAACAAGAAATCCTTTACTTTCCAGCATTTTTAAGATACGAGGAACTGATCAGGGGGAATAAAGGGGGATTTCTGAAACTCATTTGTTGTTCTGGAAATAGCCAGGGGCCAGGATTAATCTCTGGTAGGTTCATGGAAGAGTGTGAAGACCATACCAATCAATAGTCTGAAGGATGATGGTGCCACCCAGAGTTATCCCAGCCCTATGGAGCAGGACAGTGGAGCTGAGGAATGGCTGGGGGCTGCTGGGGCTGTGCAAGGCTGACACAGCCCCAAACCACCCTGCTCATCCCTTTCCTTCCTCCTGGTCTGCGCTGGAAAGCATCACTTTCACACATGGTGATGGACATGAGGGCTGTTCTCATGCAGCATCACTTCTGCCTCCCTTACCAAGAAAATAACGACTCTTGGAATACAACCTGGTGCCCGTGGCAGGAGTCCCAGTGCCACCCCCAAGCCCACAGCAGCCACCACGACGAGCAGTGCCATGGCAGAGATGCAGACACGTCTCCGTGTGCAGCCAGTGCAAGCACCACATGGATGGCAGGGCTCTGTTGGGAGGCAAGAGCAAGAGGTGAGGGGCTGGGAAAGGACCCAGCAGGGCTGAGAGTGGGTTTGGGGTGTTTCAGAGGGGAACAGTGCAGAGACATGAGGCTGATGTTTAGGGGGCTCTGCATGTGGGACTAGTGCGGGCTGCTGGGGTTTAGGGGTTGATAGTTGAGTTTAAGCAGCCCAACTCCAACAGTAAACACCTCCTCACAGAGAATTTTGCTGCTTGCAGTATGGAAGAACCCGTGCTGCTGTTACAGAGCACCGAGATCAAATGGTACAAACACCACATCTCTGTTGGAGCTCATCTAGTGGATCTGGATGCACAAGGGTGGAGAAAGACAAGTCCCTGCCCAACTCTGGTACAGCAGTGCCCCTGAAACACAGGGCAGGTCACTGAAAGGCTGGGGAAGGTGCCTTCCCAGAGCCCACAGCAAAACTCCTCAGGAGGTAAAATTTGATTTTACAGCACTTTGGGCTTTCTGCCCCAACAAATGCCCTAGGCTTTCTCCCACAGAATGCAGCTGGATTATCAGCTCAAAATGTTGGGAAGGGGCCGAAGAGCTGCCCTTTCCGTCCCCAAAGACATCTCCAGGGCACAGCAACCTTCCAGGGACTCCAGCTTTCAGAAAGTCACGTACATAAATCAAATCAAATGCAGAAGCTGAAGGCCAAACCCACAGGGATTGCAACACAATGGCAGCACAAGGAAGAGCGGCGTCAGTCACCCACCCTCACCTCAGCAACCTGCTCTGCCTCTAAACCAACACGGTGTTTTCCTGTGTTCCTTTGTATTTCCAGACCAACAGCAAAAAATGTTAATGTGGTCATCTCAGAAACATGAAACCAGTCACTTAAGACAATCCTGCCTGTTTAATTGATTTTGGTATAACTGAACTTAAAGAGCTTCAACTAGAATTTAAAAAAACAACTTTTAAAAATTTAAAGAACTTTTAAGTTAGAAGGCATAGCCTTTCCTCAGTACAGCTAAGGGATCCTGGCTACAGCAGCCTCTCCCTCTGTCACACTCAAGCGGAAACCAAACAGAACATTTCAGCTCAGAAAAGAAGTGGTGAATTACAGCATGGCTGTGTCTACAAAAAATTCTGACCAGGAAGCACAAGAGTTTACACGAGTATAAAATAAAGGCAGTGATGAAATGTTGCAACCGGATCTACAGGTTTGCTATTGATTCTGTTTGATCTCACCTTCTCCTTCTAAATATGGACAATATTTGCTGAAGTTTGACTATTAAGATACATAGCAACCCCTCAGCAAGCTCATTATGGGCCTTTCTGTGACAGACAAGGATCACCTATCATGCTACTGTACCATATGACTGCCAACTTCAAGATAACACAGAACAGCTAAAGTTTATTACTTTTATAGTATGGAAGTTTTACTACACAGAAAGAGTAGAAAATCAGTCCCAAGAAACCATAAATACTGGTTGTATTTTACATTTCAATTGGTTTATACTTTATTATTAAAGTTAAGCTCTGCATTTTATTAATTACCTCTTTTTCCAGAGAAGGATTTTGTTGAACCACAAGTAGATACATCACCATTCCTCTAGAAGGAAGGGGATAAAAGACTGTTTACAGAAGCAGCATGCAGCAGCCACACAAGCTTTGCCTTTCTAAGTCTCACACCATCTTACCCAGGAACAGGTAATGTACTCCTTTATTGTCACGTACAAGCAAAAATTGCCTTGGTGGAAACATGGCCCAGATTTAATTCCCAAAGCAATCAATCAGATCACCTTTTAAACCTTAAGTACCCATTTGTAAAACAAACACTAACTAGGTCCAGCACTTTATATCAACACTTTTCTTTTGTATCAAATTAAGTAGAAACTACTTGAAATCTCAAAAAAGCAGCGATAAAGAGGTCAAGACAAACAACACTATCAAGAACACATGTACTCCAGGGAACAGCGGCATATAAGGTTTTTCTGACATAGAACTGTACCTGGGGGTGAGTTTTGTTCATAATTTCCAGAGCTACAGCCCTCAAAGGACTGCAGGGAGTTTTCTTCACCTCACCACGAGCGATGTTACCAGGATACAATCCCAACAGAGGTAGGAGACCAAGGAGAGCGCTGCTGCCCGGGCACACAAACAGGAGGGGATGGGAAGGGCAGTGCTGAACCTGTGCTGCAGCTCCAGTTGAAAGCACAGGTTGTGGTTGGCTTCTCATTCCTCCTGGCTCCACCTTGGTTTCACAACAGGGCATTAGACAATTCACGAAGGACAGGGACATTTGAGATGCCAAGAACCCCACTGCCACTCCTGACGCCAGCTTGGAAGGTGAACACTCACCTCTAGCTGATGCCAACTGCATTTACCCTGGTGCCAGTCAGGGAGAACCCCCTTCATGATGAAAGCTTGAGGGAGGAGAGTCTGATCATCCTCATGCAAGCCTCCTTGCCCCCCTGCCTCCTTCCCAATTTGACACACTGACCTCACAGCAGCATCAACCACATGATCGGATCTCAGGAGAGCTGTGCAAGATACAACCATCTGGAACAGCTTCTCTGCTTGGGCAACAAGCACAGGCACAGAAAATCCTCCAGGGTACTCTTTTACTTGTGTACTTGAACTTCCAGGCCTGCAGTAAGTCTTAGCAGCTCAGCCTGCAGCAAACACAAACTTACAAAAAGGTTGCAGCCTTCTAAACTGGCTGCAGGTTTTGGCTCAGCACACACGAAGGGGAATTTTGCAAGATAAAACATCACCAGCAGGCAGCTTTGCCATGGGGGCAATGGGGAGAAAAAGCACCAGCATGAAGTGTTTGAGGAGCCCATGTCCTTCTTGCTTGCAGGTGGATCTATAGGGCTCAAGTGCTTCCAAACTGTGCCATCCCACAGAACACAATTCCTTCCCAAGCACTAGCAAAACCAGCTCACCGGACCTTCAGAGGGAGGCTGGTGGGTAGATTGTCTTCAAGGTGGTCCCAAGACAGTTGCCTTGAATTGATTCAAAGCACCAAATAGTGCCTGATGCGGAGGAACAACTACAGCTACTTCCCTCTCCATCCCCACACATACAACCCATCCTCAACTACAGTGAGTTAATATGCTCTTCACGATCAGGGCATCTGTCAGCCCTGCACTCACAGAACAGCCAGAATTAAATACAATCTTTCAGGAGCTCCTCCTTCAGCACAGCAGCACCAATTTGTCCAAAGCATCTTCTCAGAGGGAAAACGCCAAACGCCACGTAGCAAACAGCCTGCAAGTCTGGGTATCTGCTACAGACTAAGGGTTAAACCCCCACATCTTATATTCTGGATCTGTTTCTCTTTAAAGAGGTTTAGTTTTTGAGCCTTTATTAGGTGACTGTGAGTTTGCTAAAACTCCTGTGTAAGACAATGGATATGTTTAAAATGCAAGAGGCATTTGCAAGAGGCAAATGTCCATAAGACATGTCCAAAGGGGCATGGTTTAGTGGTGGATTTGGCAGTGCTGGGACAACAGTGGAACTCAATCTTGGAGATCTTTTCCAACCTAAACAATTCTATGATTCTACAAACTGACACCTATTTCCTACACCAAGATCATCAAGCTCAGCTGCAGCCAACCAGACAGTTGGATTTTAGAGCAGTTACCTCACATCAAACACTACTTATAGTTCAGAAGAATGAGTTCATGACAGTGAGGTAGGAAACACAACCAAGCCCTTCTGAAGTTAAATAAAAAAAAAAAAATTGTCAAAGATCAGAGCAGCTAAAGAGGCAACACAGATCAAGATATTCAGTATGACAGAAGATTATTAATTCTAGCACCTAAAAAAAACCCAATTGCCCCCAAATGTGCCATGGCTATTTCTGCCAGCAGTGAAATACACACACTAGAGAGGGTCGCCTCATTTGTGTCAAGATGATTCCATTTTAAATCTGATATAGGTTCAGTTGAACACATGCCTAAAGAGAATATAAAATGCTTTCCTCCCACAATTTCAATAATTTAAGGCCCTTCATTTAAACAGTGGTTTTGAGCAGAGATCAAACCCAAATTGCAGCCTCTGAAAACGGAGATTTCAGGAAGTCAAACAAAAAACGAGTAGAACATGACATTTTGCAAAGTCAAGTGCCAAGAGCGCTTAAGGAGTCCATTTAGATTAGAAATCTTGAGAAACAGTTCAATTACTTGATAGTATCTGATTTTACTGAGGGAAGATCCTTTGACAAGAGCTTACAAGTACAACACTTGAATTCCTCAGACTCTGGCTGGCTCTGGATCCAGCAGTGCCAAGTGCCAGAGTGCCACAGGCACAGAGCTCCCTGTGACCCAACAGCACATTGCTGAATTGCTGGCTGCACTGCACAGATCCCTCGGCTGAAATGTCATTAAACAGCAAACAAAAGACAAAACACCCAATGAAAGCACAAGTTGTTTGCTTAACTTAAGCCCAGGGCTGTAAGCAATAAAGTTTTGAAGAGAAAGTTTTGTGAAATCATCAGGGTAACAGAGGTTGTACTGTCCACGTTGGAACAGGCAAACAGCCACGTCTGCTTGGAGCTGTAATACTCCCTCTGCAACTACGTGTAATAGTAAAGGAAACATTTTAACAGACCTTACAAACATTTCCACCAGCTATTCAGTTAGAAAACCTTCGAGGGAGTTCTGTAGAATCAACAGAAAACGACATTGAGTCGGGCACCATGCATTCTAGCCAGCATTCAAACACTCAGAGACCCTACAATAAATCCCACACCCCCAACTTGCCAATGCTGGGAACCAGCATTTAACAATCTCCTCAAAGAAAAGAACTGCAAAAAACAGATTAGAAACATGAGGGACATTGTTGGTTGTTGTTGCTGTCCTAGTGAATCACACAGCAAAATCAGGTCACGTTGCCCAGGAGAGGAAGGCTATGGACAGGCTTCTCATACCGAGCCTGCTGTGGTCAATAATTAACCACAGCAAAAAGTTATATAGTCAACATTTTCTATACAGTCAATTTTATTTGTCTGCTCTCATTTCTCAGGAATCAACTTGTTTCTGTAAATGAAGTTACAAGACCAGAACAGTTAATCAAGAACAGAAAGTAGAATTTTTCAGAAAACACAGGCGCTAACTTTACAAGCAATTTAAGACTTAAAGGCTAAAGTTTGACAAAATAATTGACTATGTTATGCTCTGCATGTGAAGGGATATGTCCATAAGTTTTAATGAAGTTTCCATTTTTCACAAGCTGAGTTCTAGCCTACAGTACCTCACAAATGCTTTCCACCTCAAATATTGCCACACTGTAGAAAAAATATATTTCTGTTTTTGGAGACAGGGTTGTTTGTGCATGGACATTAACAAGTACAAAAAATTCAGCAGATAATTTTATAATATTTTCTCTTAACTACAACAGAAAGTGCAACACTAAAAAGGCATCTCCTGCCTACTTAAAATTTCTTATACCTTTACAAAGCTAACTCTGAATGTACACATTACATCCTAGAACACACAAGTAAGTTTGAAAGTGTCCTGGCAGAAGTATGGAAAGCATGCTTACAGCTTTTGTAAGCAAAAAGACACATAGCAAACACCAGCAAAAAGTGATTATGCCTGGAAACAAACACAAATTCATGTCTGAATCTTTACTACTAGTTGAAAACAAAATCCCATGACCTTTGTTGATTCTGCAACTTTATTTGCATTTAAAGACTGGCTGCTAAGCTTCTCATCTGAAGAACCACCACAATCAATCAGGAGTTGCTATCTCTGTTAAAATTAGTCTATCGGATCCAATGGAGACTTATTTAAATTGCAGATTGATCCAGATTGACTTTTGTAGGAAGAGGTCCTGCTTCTTCATGTTCCTCAGTCTTGCATCTAACCACAACAAGTGCAGAGGGTGGGTATCTGCTCAGTTTTTGCTCATTCATGTATTCCAAATCTCCATAGATGCTCAGCTTCTGAAATATTTAAACAAGGAACTTTAAGACAAAGACTCTCCATACTGTGAATAAAAGGAATTTCATTATGCAACTGCATTCCAGGTTCTGACAGCTGCAGCCCTGCCACACAAGCTAACCCAGGCTTTCTGTAACATCTGAAATTCATGGTTGGAACTAGACTTGCATCCAAAAGAGTATATTAAATCTGCCAGAAAAATAGCAGACACAGTGCTTATGTAACAGCTCCTTTGATTTGCAAATACTGTGAGCCAGGACTTTCTGGGCACCAGGAAAGTGCCCCCTCCGATCAGACACTCTGCACTCACCAATACTACGCTGTCACTGTTCTCACTATTGATCCTCCTGGATTCAACCCATACTGGTTTTTACCTATACCACCCAAACCTCAGAATAGCTTTATTCCCAGAGAAATTAGAATCAGCCTCCACTTGTTAAGAGTAATTTGAAAGTTGTCAAGAGGAGAGCACTACAAACCAGAAGACATCCTCTCTGGGCTGCCTGAGTAATAAGGCTCAGAGCTCCTATGGGCCTCAGGAATAAGCAAGAATTGCTCAGCTATAAAATCATACTTTAAATAAACAAAATTGGTTTGCTAACCACATCCTCAAAAATAAAACCCCCTTTCCAGATGAACTTCCCCCAAATGTTCCTTAGTCCCTAGACAGCTGTAGCATAAAAGCAATATAAAGAATAAATTCAGAATACTGTAAGTTATAAAATGCAGTACCTCAGATGGAACATACTGCTCCACAGCTGTAGCTACGGTCGCACAACAAATCCAGAGCAGCACCAACACTGACAGGACAAGTGTAGTGGTTAAAATCCAACTGGAATTTCTGAAATGAGAAGGATGTTGCTACATTTCATATACTGAATACAAGACAATAGACCTCTAAAAAGCTTGGCTCAATTTTGACTGTCTTTCCTGCCAATTCATTAGTCTCTTGCTTTTACAGCTACACAGCCCACTGCAGACTCCTGGGTACTCTAATGCCTTTTTAGGATCACAAAAGAGTTGCTGGATTCTGTTATTGGGCCCTAAGCATCCTCTTGTTTACAGAATTAAAACCAGTTTTTTGTGACACATTTGGGGTCCAACTCACTGATCCTTCATGTGTAAACTTTTAAAGAGAAAGTAACCAGAAAAAAGGAAAGAAGGATCGACATGCTGATCTTCAGAAAAGCTCTAATAAATATACATTGTGTATTTTCAGCCTGGAAATGAGACATGTCAGTGGGCTTTGTATCAAACAATCCCAAAACAAAATACAAAAGAAGTGCTTTGCCCTGAAACACATCCAGAGCTAATGAACAGGCAAGACACAGTATTGATTAAACAGTTCAGAGAACGTACTCAAAAAACAGTGCAGGAAATTATCAATACGTTGTTCACTTGAAATGGAAAGGAAAAATCAAAGTTGGCAGAACACTGTGCAAAAAACACGGGGCCAGTACAGCAAAGTCACACTAACAGTGAGATACAGAATTGTAACTGCTGTGCATCCTGAACCTACAGGCTTGTAGCACTTTGAGACCTTGCCACAGTGCTCCACACACACAGGGGAAAGGCCATTATCCTCCTAGTGGGTACAGACATCCAGAACATACGTACATGGAAAGACACTTGAAAAAGCTGTCGTTTGCTCGCTCTTCAAAGAGCCCTCGGAATGTCTGTGAGCCCCCTGGACGTCTGTCTGCTGAGGGACAACAGCACAAACACTGGTCAGGAGAGCCAGGAAAGGGAAGACCCAAAGCCCACACAGTTGGTCTGCACAAAGCCTAAAAAGAAGCTTTTAAAAACAACCCCAGCTTGCAGGTTTCCATTTCCAGCAGAGCTTTGTTTCTAGCACAGGCTATGCCAAGTGTACATAGTGCACTCTACACAGTAAATAATTACATTTCAGCTTTCTAAAAATTTGCTTTCATATGCCACCTGTAACTTTATTTTTTTCTTTGCATAACAGGGAACATTTGCATTTACTCTTGCAAAGCACAAAGAACAACTTACAGGCTGTTTTACTCAGTGACAAGGATCCTCTTGTATCTCCAGTTTCCTGATCAAGCTGTGGAACATACTGTACTTCTGGCTTTGACTAAAACAAAATAAGGAGATAGGAGATCATGCTAGAAAGCTTCCACTGATCTTGATAATTTATATTTTCAGAACTAATACAGAAATTAACCTGAAGACATGCTCCATTCTCCTAACTTTGAATTTTTTCCCCCATTAAACTGGCTCTAAAGGCAGTGAAATACCAGCAAAAACTGAGCACTTCTGATAGTTCTCTACAGCCTTTTCTGTGACTGGAAGAAGCAGACCTAAAGCGAGCAGCCAGGACACCTTAATCTCAGTGAAAAAGGTAAGCACCTGGAATATGACAATTTTGCCATCATCTGCTTGAAGGTAGAAAGTCC